TTGAAATAGAAATAGCCTGACCAGCATTATTTTACCTTTTATGACATTTCTAAATAAAAATTTTAAATATAACCAAATTGAAACCTGTAGTCTTTAGTTACTCAAAGAGCTTATGCAAATACTTTCCTTAATATAATGATGTTATGGTGAATCTTTTCTGAAGAGAGTAGATGTTTCCTAATGACCTTATTTTATTTCCATAAATACATGCGGCATTTGAAGTTTATCATAGTCACTAAATTTTCTCTGAACAAGGAAATATGGAAAAGATCCCATAATGCCATACTTTTTTTTTTTTTTTTTGAAATGGAGTCTTGCTCTGTCACCCAGGCTGGAATGCAGTGGCACAATCTCAGCTCACTGCAACCTCCGCCTCTCAGTTCAAGTGATTCTGCTGCCTCAGTCTCCCCAGTAACTGGGATTACAGGCATGTGCCACCACACCTGCCTAAATTTTGTATTTTTAGTTCAGATGAGGTTTCATCATGTTGGCCAGGCTGGTCTTGAACTCCTGATCTTAAGTGTGATCCACCCATCTCGGCCTCCCAAAGTGCTGGTATTATTGGGCTTGAGCCACTGCACCCGGTTCCTAGTAGGTATATATCTTCATGAGGTATATGAGATATTTTGGTACAGGTATGAGATTATTTGGTAATATTCACATCATGGAAAATTGGATATACCATACCCTGAAGCATTTATACTTTGTATTACAAACAGTCCATTATACTCTATTATAGTTATTTTAAATGTACAATTAAATTATTATTGTAGTATAATCATTCTGTTATGTTATCAAATACTAGGTCTTTTTTATTTATTCTTTTTTTTTTTTTTTTTTTTCCTTGAGACAAAATCTTGCTCTGTTGTCCAGGTTGGAGGGCTGTGGTGTGGTCTTGGCTCACTGCAACCTCTGCCTCCTAGGTTCAAGCAATTCTCCTGCCTCAGTCTCCCAAGTAGTTGGGATTACAGATTCATACCAGTATGCCTGGCTAATTTTTTTGCAATCTCTGCCTCCCAGGTTTGAGCAATTCTCCTGCCTCAGCCTCCCAAGTAGCTGAGATAATAGGTGTGTGCCACCACACCTGGCTGATTTTTGTATTTTTAGTGGAGACCAGGTTTCACTGTGTTGTCCAGGCTAGCCTTGAAGACCTGACTTCAAGTGATCTGCCCACCTTGGCCTCTCAAAGTGCTGGGATTACAGGCATGAGCCTTTTTCTTTTTTTTTTTTTTTGCACCCATTATCCAGCCCCACCTTCCCCACTGCCCCCACTACCCTTCCCAGCCTCCGGTAACCATCCTTCTGTTCTCTATCTCTGTGAGTTTAATTGTTTTGACTTTCAGATCCTACAAGTAAGTGAGAACATGTGATGTTTGTCTTTCTGTGCCTGGCTAATTTCGCTTAATACAGTGATCTCCAGTACCAATCGTGTTTTTTCAAATTCCATTCTTTTTTATAAATAACACGTTTTCTTATCTGTTCATCTGTTGATGGACACTTAGGTTGCTTCAAAATCTTGGTTATTGTGAACCATGCTGCAACAAACATGAGAATGCTGGTGTATCTTTGATGTACTGATTTTTTTTTTCTTTTAGATATATACCCAGCAGTGTGATTGCTGGATCATATAGTAGTCTTTTTAAAGTGTTTTGAGGAACTTCCAAACTGATCTCCATAGTGGTTGTACTAATTTACATTCCCACCAATAGAGTATTGAGGGTTCCCTTTTCTCTGCATCCTCACCAGCGTTTGTTATTGCCTGTTTGGATAAAAGCCATTTTTTTTTTTTTTTTGAGACGGAGTTTCGCTCTTGTTACCCAGGCTGGAGTGCAATGGCGCCATCTCGGCTCACCGCAACCTCCGCCTCCTGGATTCAAGCAATTCTCCTGCCTCAGCCTCCCAAGTAGCTGGGACTACAGGCGTGCATCACCATGCCCAGCTAATTTTTTTATATTTTTAGTAGAGACGGGGTTTCACCATGTTGACCAGGATGGTCTCGATCTCTTGACCTCGTGATCCACCCGCCTCGGCCTCCCAAAGTGCTGGGATTACAGGCTTGAGCCACCGCGCCCGGCGGATAAAAGCCATTTTAACTGGGGTGAGATGGTACCTCATTTTTCGTTTTGATTTGCATTTCTCTGATGATCAATGATATTGAGCAGTTTCTCATATGCCTCTTTGCCGTTTATATGTCTTCTTTTAAGAAATGTTTATTTAAATCTGTTGCCCATCTTTCAATTGGATTTATTAGATTTTTTTTTTCCCTATAGAGTTGTTTGAGCTCCTTATATATTCTGGTTATTAATCCCTTGTCAGATGAGTAGTTTGCAAATATTTTCTCCCATTATATGGGTTGTCTCTACTTTGTCAGTTGTTTCCTTTGCCATGCAGAAGCTTTTTAACTTGATGTGATCCCATTCATTCATTTTTGCTTTGATTGTCTGTGCTTGTGAGGTATTACTTAAGAAATTTTTACTCCGACCAACGTCCTGGAGAGTTTCCCCAATGTTTTCTTCTAGTAGTTTTATGATTTGAGGTCTTAGGTTTAAGTCTTTAATTTATTTTGATTTTATTTTTCTGTAAGCTTCTTACCTTATAGAAAAAGTATAGGAGTCTAGTCTCAATTCTTCTGCATATGGATATCCAGTTTTTCCAGCACCATTTATTGAAGAGATGGTCTTTTCCCCAGTGTATGTTCTTGGCACCATTGTCAAAAATGTGTTCACTGTAGGTATCTGGATTTGTTTCTGGGTTCTCTATTTTTTTCCATTGATCTTATGTGTCTGTTTTTGTGCCAGATGTCTACAGCTTTGTAATATGTTGTGAAGTCAGGTAATGTGATTCCTCCAGTTTTGTTCTTTTTTCCTTAGGATAGATTTGGCTATTTTGGATCTTTTCTGATTCTGTATAAGTTTTAGGATTGCTTTTTCTATTTCTGTGAGGAATGGCATTGGTATTTTGGTGGGGATTGCACTGAATCTGTAGATTGCTTTGGGTAGTATGAGCATTTTAACAATGTTGATCCTTCCAACCCATGAACATGGAATATCTTTCCATTTTTGTGTGTGTGCCCTCTTTAATTTCTTTCATCAATGCTTTATAGTTTCTCTTGCAAAGATCTTTCACTTCTTTGGTTAAGTTAATTTCTAGGTATATGATTTTATTTGTGGCTATTGTAAATGGGATTGCTTTTAAAATTTGTTTTTCATATTGTTTATTGCTGGCATATAGAAATGCTACTGTTTTTTGTTATGTTGATTTTGTATCCTGCAGCTTTACTGAATTTGTTTATCAGTTCTAATAGTTTTCCTTTTTTTTTTTTTTAAATACTGGGCATGGTGGTGTGTGTCTGTGGTATCAGCTACTGGGGAGGTTGGGGTGCAGTGTGGAAGTATCTCTCTCTCTCTCTTTTTTCATTTTCTTTTCTTTTCTTTTTTTTCTTTTTTTTTTTTTTTATGAGGTCTCTGTTACCCAGGCTGGAGTGCAGTGGCAAGGTCTTGGCTCACTGCAACCTTTGGCTCCCAGGCTCAAGTGATCCTTCCACCTCAGCTTCCTGAGTAGCTGGTGTTATAGGCATGTGCCACCAGACCTGGCTAATTTTTGTATTTTTTGTAGAGATGGGGTTTTGCCATGTTGCCCAGGCTGGTCCTGAACTACTGGACTCAAGTGATCCACCTGGTTCTGCCTCCCAAAGTGCTAAAGTTACAGATGTGAGCCACTACACCCAGCCCTCTTGTAGAATCTTTAGGTTTTTCCAAATATAAGCTCATATCACCTGCAAACAAGGATAATTTGACTTACTCCTTTCTAATTTGGAAGCCCTTTATTTGTTTCTCATCTGATTGCTCTAGCTCAGACGTCTAGTACTACGTTGAATAACAATTGTGAAAGTGGGCATAATTTGTCATGTTCCAAATCTAAGAGGAAGGGCTTTCAGTTTTCCTCCATTTCGTATGATACTAGCTGTGGGTCTGTCATATATGGCTTCTATTATGTTGAAATCTGTTTCTTCTATACCTAGTTTTTTGAGGGTTTTTTCATGAATGGATATTGAACTTGTATCAGATAATTTTTCAGCATCAATTGAGATTATGATATGGTTTTTGTCCTTCAAATAATGGAGTTTTAATTTTTAGGCAATTTTATTTAAAGTGACTTTTTTAAACTTGATATCAAATATATAAAATATATATTTGCATTACAAATATTTAATGCAATACGTGAGCAGTTCTGCCTATTGATGTATTTTCTAAAAAGGATAATCTTATTTCACAATGTTTAATTCTTTTTTTAAACAGAGTCTTGCTCTGTCCCCCAGTCTAAAGTGCAGTGGCGCAATCTTGGCTCACTGCATCTTCCACCTCCTTGGTTCAAGAGACTCTCCTGCCTCAGCCCGCTGAGTAGTTGGGCTTATGGGTGCCCATCACCATGCCTGGCTAAGTTTTGTATTTTTAGTAGAGTCAGGGTTTCACCGTGTTGGCCAGGCTGATCTCACACTCCTGACCTCGAGTGATCCATCTGCCTTGGCCTTCCAAAATGCTAGGATTACAGCAGTGAGCCACTAAGCCTGTCCAAGTTTTTTACTGAGAACTTTTATTATAGATTGAGAAAAGGAGAGATGATTTTTTTTCTAGTAGAATCCTATATATTCAAGTATTAAATGCCTTTACATATCAAATCTTCTCATGTTAGGTTACTGATTTTGAATTTTGGAAGGGATACCTTCCAGATTATTTTATTGCTTCTTGTTACAGTTTAAAGCCAGTTTGATTCAATGCCTTTTGATCTTCTTTCTGTGACTGTTAATTTTTTTCTTTTATTAAAATTATAGTAAAATGTGTGTAGAACCCAAAGAGCAAATCAATTTTGGTCTTTTTTTTCTTTTTGTTCCTTTATGTTTTTTTTTAAAATCAGTAGTAAGCTTTATTTGCCAGGCTAAAAGATAAACTAACATTATGATTTAAGCTAAGTAAAAAACTAATATCATTTTTTTCTTTCAGATCTCTATAAAAATGGACTCCAAAGAGCTAACTTTGTACCATTCATAGCAGTCCTGAAGGTAAAAACAAATCATTTATTTGTATTTACTAAGATCGTATTTATTGATAATCAAGGGCTATAGTAGGATTGCCTTGGTCTTGGCATTCAAGCAGAATTTATTTTGCTATTTAGATAGTAATAGTCAAAGACACTGAAGGAGAAAAGAATATTTTTATATAGTATCATGCATGTGTACAGTGAAATTGTAAAATATAGTCTAAATTATTCTCTAACTGAAACATTGAATAGTTAGCATTTTATAAATTTTAATTTGAGGTTTGCTCATAAATATTTTAGTGGAATGTTTAAACTTATACATTTATTTTTGAAAAAAAAAATGTTTAATGTTCCCTGTTCCCTTCAGGTTAATGGCCATTATTAACATGTTTTCCCAGCTATTAAAGTTGCTATTCTAGAATAGCATTATTACAAAAATATTCTAATATATTTAAATGTGATTGCCATCAAGTTATGAAATTATGTCAAGTTGAGGCACATAAATAGTTTAAATATTTGTGTGTATCATCACTGCATGGAGTTTAAAATAGTCTTCATTACAATATGATTAACAATAAAATAGCCTCCTTTTTTACTCTTAATTTTAAGTAATTTTTTACATGATTATTTAATGATTTCACATTCTGCCATCGTTTATTGAGAACCTACTATGTACAATGTGCTGCATTAGGTATAATGGATAATAGAATTGTGAACTAAGCTGTTTTTTGCTGGCACATTATTTATAATGTAGTTGAGGATATAAAATACATACAAAATACCTATAAGAGAAAGCAAAATTTGCCAAAATATAATTCCCATAATTTTAGGTAAATGCTTTCTCCCCATGCCCATCAACATATTTGAAGAAAGGATAAAGTATTTTTTAAAAACTGAAATCTTAAAAATTCTTACTCAAGAAGGGTTAAAATATTTTATCTTCAGACATTCTAAAGGCATAATCAGACAATCTTTTTGATGTGTACTTTGGTTGGAATTATTGTTGGTGCCAAACTTTATTCCCTATGCTATACTTAGGAGAATTCAAACATCTGTTTCCTTGACCAATTTTAGGTTCCCAAGGATTTTAATTTCTCGGAGATATTTATAGACGTAGGAAAAGTACTTTTGGAAGATTAATGCTGTTAGTAATTTTTTTCCCTTTATATTCATGTTTTGCATTTGGGGAGAACGTAGACTTGTAATGTTTTCTCCATGCTAGCAATCCAAAGTAATATGGTATGCACAGATACCAAAATATAAAAAGGGAAGCTAGGAAAAATAGGTGCTAAACATAGTGTCTTCATGTAGCATAAAATACACAAAATGTAAAAAGAGAAATCTCAGAAAGAAGCAAGTTAAGAGGGTCTCAGGGAACAACTTTGTAGCTGTCCTTGTTTTTTTTTTTTTTGTTTGTTTTTTTTAACTTCAAATATTTTGTCGTTGTTGTTTTCTTTGGCCAGTAATTTGTCCTACTTCAATGTATAGTAGCAGTATTAATAGGCAACTAAATTGGCCAGATTGAATTTAGTTTTCTTTCCCTTTCCTTCTCTTAAAGTTTTTCAAGGGGGAAGGAAAACCAGAGATGAATAGTATGCAATTTGAAATTGAACATGAACTGAGATACATAATATACAATTTGAAGTTGAACATGGATTGAACTTCCCGGGAAACTAAATACCAGATTAGATAAGAAAAGGTCTAAAATGTCTAATTTATTCAAGAGATGTTTCATATATAACAAAACATCAATGAATGAACACTAGAGCTGGTTTCTCTGAAGCTTTTCTGTTTGGGCATATAAAGTTTCTCTTGTAAGGAAAGGTAGTTTAATATTAACAAGTGATATTTTGCCTATTCACAGATGCCAGTGTTACTGCTTCATTCTGGCCCAGCTGAGAGAAGGATACAGCAGAAGTCAGTCTTAAAACAAATAGAGAATTTTAGTTTAATAAAAAGAAATTATTATAAATGAGATAGAAATTTGTCGAGGGAAGGCCGGGCACGGTGGCTCAAGCCTGTAATCCCAGCACTTTGGGAGGCCGAGGTGAGTGGATCACAAGGACAAGAGATCAAGACCATCCTGGTCAACATGGTGAAACCCCATCTCTACTAAAAATACAAAACATTAGCTGGGCATGGTGGCGCGTGCCTGTAATCCCAGCTACTCAGGAAGCTGAGGCAGGAGAATTGCCTGAACCCAGGAGGTGGAGGTTGCGGTGAGCCAAGATCGCGCCATTGTACTCCAGCCTGGGTAACAACAGTGAAACTCCGTCTCAAAAAAAAGAAATTTGTTGAGGGAAAAAGTACATTGTAAAACTTATTTTTAAAAATGTTCTCTGTAAACCAAATGATTGCAAGTTTGTGATTCACCACAGAAGCTTGTGGTTTGTTGCTTGGGAGATTGAAAAATAACAAAAATTTATATAAGCTCTTAGTAAAGCCTGCTTTATGGCTCAAGATGTAGACAATTTTCTTTAAAATAGTGGGTACTCTTCAGTTGTTATGTGTTATTGTGTAGGTTTATTAATTATGCCATTCAAATCTTTATTCTTTTTTTTTTGGAGACGGAGTTTTGTTCTTATTACCCAGGCTGGAGTGCAATGGCGCGATCTCGGCTCACTGCAACCTCCGCCTCCTGGGTTCAGGCGATTCTCCTGCCTCAGCCTCCTGAGTAGCTGGGATTACAGGCAAGCACCACTATGCCCAGCTAATTTTTTGTATTTTTAGTAGAGACGGGGTTTCACCATGTTGACCAGGATGGTCTTGATCTCTTGACCTCATGATCCACCCGCCTCAGCCTCCCAAAGTGCTGGGATTACAGGCGTGAGCCACCGCGCCCAGCCCCAAATCTTTATTCTTATATTTTTTCATATCAATTACTAATAAACTTATGGGAAACATCTCTCACTATAATTGTGAATTTATCTATTTTTCTTGTAATTCTATCATTTGCCTTACATATTTGGAGGCTATGTTATAAGTTGCATACAGATTTATAATACTTATTTTATTTATTTATTTATTTATTTATTTAGAGACAGAGTCTTGCTCTATCACCCAGGCTAGAGTGCAGTGGTGCAATATTGGCTCACTGCAACTTCCACTTCCCAGGTTCAAGTGATTTTCCTGCCTTAGCCTCCTGAGTACCTGGGACTACAGGTACACACTACCACATCAGTCTAATTTTTGTATTTTTAGTAGAGATGGGGTTTTGCCATGTTGGCCAGGCTGATATCAACTCCTGACCTCAAGTGATCTGCCCAGCTTAGCCTCCCAAAGTGGTGCTGGGAGTACAGGTGTTAGCCACCATACCTGGCCAGATTTACAATAATTAAATACTGCTTGTGAATGGAACTTTTAAATATTATTAAGTAGCATTGCTCCTTCTTTTCAAGTATACTTTTAACCGTCTCTTGAAACATTGTTACCATGACTGCTTTAAAATCTTCCTTTATCAGATAATTCTAACTTCTCTGTCATCTTGATGTTGCCATTTCTTTACATTCAGTTTGAGATCTTCCAGATTTTTGGTATAAGTGATTTCCAATGGAAACTGACATTTTCATAATTTGTCATGAGACTTTGAATCTTACTGTTTTAACCAAATTTTATACTGTGGTAAAATATACATAACAAAAATTACTATTTTAATGATTTGTTTACATTTTGATACAGGGGCTCACTCTGTTGCCCAGGCTGGAGTGCAGTGGCACAATCATGGCTTACTGAAACTTCAACCTCCACAGGCTCAGGTGATCCTCCTGCCTCAGCCTCCTGAGTAGCTGGAACTACAGGCACATTCTACCATGCCTGGCTAATTTTTGTATTTTCCGTAGAGACAGGGTTTCACTGTTTCCCAGGCTGGTCTTGAACTCCTGGGCGCAAGCAATCTGCCTGCCTTGGCCTCCCAAAGTGTTGGGATTACAGGTGTGAGCTACCATAGCTGTCCTATTTTAATGATTTTTAAGTGTACAGTTCAGTGACATTAAGTGCATTCACATTGTTGTACAAGCACCACCATCATTCATCTCCGGAATTTTTCATCTTATCAAACTGAAACCCTGTACTCACTAAGTGATAACCCTCATTCTTCCCCTCTCCCAATGCTGCTTACCACTATTCTACTTTCTGCCCCTATGAATTTCTCTTTTCTAGGTACTTGATTTAAGTGGAATTACCTAATTCCACTTTTTCTTTCTGGCTTATTTCACTTAGCATAGTGTCTTCAAGGTTTATGCGTGTTGCAACATGTGTCAGAATTCCAGTCTTTTTTATGACATAATAATAATCCATTGTAAGGATATGCTGCATTTTGTTTATCCATTCACCTGTCAATGGACATTTGGGTTGTTTCTACCTTTTAGCTATTACAAATATTGTATACAAATATCTATTTGAGTCCCTGCTTTCAATTCTTTTGTGTACATACCCAGAACTGGAATTGCTAGATCTTATGGTAATTATGTGTTTAATTTCTTGAGGAACTGCCATACTGTTTTCCATAGCGGCTGTACCATATTACTTTCCCACCAGCAATATACAAGCATTCCAGTTTCTCTGCATTTCCCCCAATGCTTATTTTATCTTTTTTTTTTTTTTTGGTTAATAGCCATCCCAGTGGGTGCGAAGTGGTATCTCATTGTGGTTTTGATTTGCATTTCCCAAGTGATTAATGATATTGTGTATCTTTTCATGTGCTTTATTTATTTATTTATTTATTTATTTATTTATTTATTGAGATGGAGTCTTGCTCTGTCACCCAGGCTGGAGTGCAGTGGCACAATCTTGGCTCACTGCAACATCTACCTCCTGGGTTCAAGTGATTCTCATTCCTCAGCCTCCCAAGTGGCTGGGATTACAAACACCCACCACCATGCCAGGCTAATTTTTGTATTTTTGGTAGAGATGGGATTTCACCATGTTGGCCAGGCCGGTCTCGAACTCCTGACCTCAGGTGATCTGCCTGCCTCGGCCTCCCAAAATGCTGGAATTACAGGTGTGAGCCACTGTGCTTGGCCT